TCCCTGTGGATAGACATATTTTATTCTAGATTTCTTGTCGGACACTCTGGATTTATTCTTAGAGGTCAAAGAAAAATTTAGCAATGTTTGGAAGAGATTATTTAATTTATGACTGACATGTGTTAACACATTGGTTAATCATTTTCTGAAAAAGAAAACATTGATTAACCTTCGTATTGATGTGTGCAATCAGGGATTTTGTCATGAAGTTGTGCTGCTTCCATATGTTAGCGTAGTCTCTAAAAGCACATTTAGCTGTATAGTGAAGTATGAGGTAATCGTGGTATAGGGAATTTATTAACAAGGTTTGACTCTCTAGTTGTGATAGAAGGCTTGCCTCACTTTCATGGCTTATCATTTATGATTGTTTTACTAATCTGAAAAGGCATGATATGGTAGGCAGTTAGGCATCATAACTTCGCTCCTTTGGTTTCTAAAGGAACAATAACAAAACGATTCTTTTAATGTTTGCTAACTTCTATAAAAATTAATTGATTTGAACTTTGTTTCGGGCATGAGTTCTTGGAGCTAGGAAAAATACAATACTTTCGTATCTTCAGTCATATCCTGTATCTGCATGTTAACCCTTCTCTTTGATTTCCAGACCTAAATTTCATCTTCTGAACAAAATCGATGGAGCAGCATATTCTCATTAGTGGTTAACGTGAAAAAGAATATAATTAATATGTTGGAAAAATATGCAGTTTCCATCACTTTGTGCATTTTTTTTCTCATCATCTAATTGACAACTTAGTCAGTTGTTTTAGGCATTGATTACAGTCATCTTTCAGTTCTAGAAAATATCAAATTGCATATTTGGGGACAATTTTTATGATGACGCCAAATAAGTGTGGTGAGAACTGAGAACCAACAGAACTTGCTTTCGACTATTCTGACTATTCTGTATGGTATCTAGTTTTCTAAACTCGTTTTACTTAGAATATCTCTAGTCTTACTGTATTTAACCTTTTAGTTTATAGAACTAAGTGTACGTTGGTCACCAAGCATATAGAAGAACACAGTCTCTATCCCGGTTTCAATTTCAAAGCCATGTATAGATTAGATATGAATATGCACACAGTTAAGAAATTCATTTGAAGGAGGAGGAGAGAGAACATTGTGCTTAATTCTAAACTAAAGTGTGCATGTGCCTCCTGAGGATTCCAAATTTCTTTTATGACAATTTTCTTAAGCTTCTTAATGTCAAATGTACCCATTTTTAAATCATTGCAGGTTCTTGAAGCTTAGTACTAAGGTAAATTGCATAGAAGCATCACCATAGGAGCTTAGATGGAGACTGCTACCCCTCCAAGGTCGATAAAACTCACAATCAAATACAAGAGAGATAAAAGCATCACCAATTGCTCGACTACCCCTGATCTCCCGAACAATGCTGAATACGAATGTTCTAAAAGTCAGGCACATACTAATTCTACCGAACAGGAACAAAATAACAGCCCAGAAGAAGATGAAGAAAACCCTTGTACAGAAAATTCCGAATATCAGTTGGTTCTCTATGACCCATCAGTCAACGAGGCCAGCGATTCAGAAAACGAGCTCGAATCAGTTAATCAGCAACCTCCTTTTCACAGAGTGCATCCATTTTCAGATCAGACCCAACGTGTTCTGCCATCAATAGGGGCTTTCACAGTTCAATGTGCCGAATGTTTCCAATGGAGGCTCATCCCAACAAAGGAGAAGTATGAGGAGATAAGAGAGAACATCATAGAACAGCCATTCACGTGCGAAATGGCCCGTGAGTGGAAGCCCGATATATCGTGTGAGGATCCTCCTGATATAACTCAAGATGGCAGTCGGCTTTGGGCCATCGACAAACCTAGCATTGCTCAGCCACCTCCTGGTTGGCAGAGGCTGTTGAGAATCAGAGGAGAAGGGGGCACCAAGTTTGCGGATGTGTATGTATTCTATGAATTTCCTTTTTTTTTTAATTAGTTTTATTTTTATTTTTTGGCTTTTTTCGTCAGAAGTAGCTTTTAAGGCTATGGGCTGTGTTTATAGAAGCTCACGCCTGACAGTAAAATAGCTTTGGGGTGTCTTGATTTTGGGTGTCTGTGTGAGGAGGCATGCTTTTAGCGGTTTAAAATATTCTGTGCTTGAGCCTTGAAGTGTTCAATCCTTGAAAAACAGTGTTGCGTGGTATCTCAAATTTGGAGTATCATATGCTAGTAAAATAATAACGAGTCTGTTAACTATTTATTGTGAACTTAAAATGAGATTAAAGAAATGGGGTAAGAAAAGGAGAGGTTTTGAGTTTTTTTGTAAAGCCTTATTATCAACATAATCTTTTATTTTTTATTTTTATTTTTTAAAAAGGCATGGTTCTTTAACCCTCTTCTGTTTTTTTTTTTCCTTAGATGTAATAACTGGTGTTATATCTAATGATGCCCTGGTATATTCAACGAGCCCCAAAATTTTGTCGCTACTCTTTTATTTAATTTTCAAGTTGAATGTAAAGAATGTGGATGGCCATTTTTAACGGTATAACTTATAATTGTAACTTCATGAAGAAGCTTGATTTTTCTTTACTATTATTTTCTCTTGTATTTCTATTACGGCCTCATCAATATACCTGCACCTTTCATGTTAAAGTATACTGATGCCTGATTACTGTAGTACAAAGAGATTGAACCTCCTGTCTATAACCTAATCTCATGCTTCTTCACAGGTATTACGTTTCACCTTCAGGCAAGACACTTCGTTCCAGGGTGGAGATCCAAAAGTACAACCTCTTTGTTACCCCTGCAATATTGCTTCCATAAGAAGAGAGAACAAGAAAATACTTTGCTGGCTTTATATATTTATTTAGTCTATAATGTTGGTGGATAATTCTTATGTTTTTTTTTTTTTTTTGCTCTTTTCAAGGTACCTAAATGAACACCCCAAATACATGCATGAAGGGGTGAACTTGTCTCAGTTTTCTTTCCAAATCCCAAGGCCATTGCAAGAAAACTATGTGAGAAAGCATCCTACTGCTCGTCCTTTACCTGTGAACAATTCTAGTCAACATGCACTGCCAGGATATCTTCCACCTTCAGAAGGTGACCTAAGTTTTTTTTATATCAATTTCAATGGCTTCATATATCAAACTTAAATGACCCAATTTAGCTACCTGAGATTGAATTTTCTTACATGTGAAGTCTTATCTCTAGAAACGTGGCTTCTGTTTGGTGTTAAAATGATTTCACTTTTGAGATGTAGCTTTGGAAATGGATCTAGCTAGTAGTTTGAACTTGATGATGAAAATTACAAACAAAATACCCTCCTCTCATTGTCATAAGAACGCCTTCCCGAAGTTTGATTGAAAGTTGTTTTGTTCTTGGCAAAACAACTCTTTTAATAGCTGCAGTTTAATGAAAACAAGTATTAACGTAAAGGCAACATTTGTGTCTACAACATATCTAGGATATATTGTGATTGGCCTGCACAAGAGTTTTATTTGTAATTAACCCCAAATTTTATTGGTGTTCTCTGAAGCTGGTTCCTAATGCATTGAAATAAGCTCATGTCACGTTCAATTATGCCAAAAAACACTCTCTAAACATGTATTTGAGTAACTCTACTAAATTTAGGCAGGGTTAATAAAATGTCGTTGCCTCTCAAATATTATAAGGATCCTCCTTTTCCCCTGCTTCTTAGCTGCTAATTTGTTTATTCACGTCCTTTTTCATTGATCCTTTAATCCTATGTATTCATTTTGACCCCAGACTTCTTAGCTAAGGTTATTTTTCACTTTTCATACTAATATAATACTGATACTGATATGCATCTCAGGTAAAAATTGCTTAAATACTCATATGGATTATTGATCTTTGTGATAAACAAGTCATTCTTTTTTTACACCACATAATCATATCAGCATTATAATACAATTTCTTTTGAACTGCTGCAGCTAAAGCCATAACATGGGTAAGTCCCAACACAGACTTGCAGCTTAATGGTTTTGGGACTCCTGGTAAGGATTTCGAAAGACGGTCATCAAAAAAGAAAAGGAAAATTCAAAAATGGAATCCTGATTTGGTCATTAACCTCGATGATGATGATGTTGATGATGAGGTCAGCATTGCGGAGCCTCATCAGCTTTGACATTGTCTCTCGTGAGATGCAATCTTTTCCGATTAGCCAGCTTTATCTTGGCAATGCCTTAGCAGCGTAAAACTTGTGTGGTTAAGATCTTTGAGGAGACATGTTATGTTTTGTTATGTTTTAAATGAGCTTTTTAAAGCTTTTGTATTCTCCATGTTTTGGTGTAAGGTGATTGTAAGTTTAATGTTGAAGTATGTTTTACGCTGGTCGTGCTGCCTGCTGGAGATCTTAGTTGACCTAATATATGTACATATTAATGTGTTCTTCTTTCTAATGTCTCTTATTTTTCTTTCTTTTTCTGTTTTTGTTATTGAGTTGTCTATGCCTTGTGTGGATTTTGGATGAGCCATTTGTCCATTTGGGATTTGAATCATGAACAAAAACAAGGATTGAAAATAGAGAAAACTAGTTCAGCTGTTAACAAGGAGGCATGGAGAATGAGGTAAATATATGATTGAATTATTGACTCATATACATAAAGAGGTGCCTTATATAGTGGCAATATATTCTTTGGTATTATTTTGTTAGACGATACTCTTTAAATTTATGTATTTTCACACTCAAATATCATATTAACTCAAATATCATACTTAAAAATATGATATGAATAACGTATGAAATTTCGGAATATACTAATGCTTCTTTTATAAGAAAGCATGCCACCCTAATGGTTAGGAAACTAACAAAACATTTGTGTTTCTTTTTTTTTTTTTATTTTTTTGTACTGCCTGAATTCTGAAAACTGCCAAGGCAGGAATTAGCATATGGATACTATAGTAAACTGTACTTTTAAATATTTCACCACTCAAAATTAAGGGGGCGCTTGTTTATAGAATAATTTATTCAAAATGAGTTATTTTGATTAACCATAGTTAATTTTGAAAAAAGTGGCATGGTTAGTTGTTAGTGGAATTTTAAGAATGTATTAAAATAATGTTTAAAATAAATTAATTAAAATTGATTTGATGTAAAAGTAGAAGATAAATTATTGAAAATAATTAGTTAAAATTATGTGAGTGGATGAATAATAAATTAAAATTGATGTGATGTTTAAGAATGATTGGTTTGTATAATTTACTTATATGAATAATATTAAAGATAGTAGAATTGAGTTAAAATCGAATTAGATTTTGAGTATGAATTGAATGGGAATGAAATAATTTATAAACAAGCATGCCCTAAATATCTAAAAGAGACACCTTCCGTTTCCAACCTCCACTTGTACATCATAATTCATCCGATATATTGTAAAAATCCTTAATTCGAGTGAGTTAGCAACAAAATGCAGTAATAGTGATTGGAAGTATTTCATGTAATCGATTAA